AGTTAAAAAAAAAAAGGGACTAGATTTTCCCCTCCATCTTGGCACTCTCTACAGAGGTGAAAATCATTACAGAAATTTCCAGTGCCAGTGTTATTTATTACTCTCTCCTTTTTATGACAACAGTCAAAGAAATGTCCTTCATTGTTAAGGATATACTACCAGGAGATCTATTCGAGGATCACACAACTGTCTCCATTAATCCCTTCACATTCCACTGATAAATCTCCATGCTTTGACCCATAGTCAAGAATACATTATTCTTAATACAAATCAAGGTGGGATTTATCCTTCAAGATCCAGCCAGCTAGCCTCCTTCAATTCCCTCATCCCATGGGTCAGCTACTGAATGACAATGAGCATTGGCCTGCCTTCAAAGTGAAAAAGTTAAGAAGAGTTTGGCAACCCACACTCATTTTCTTCATAACATTCTACAACCAAATCTTGATGATGCATCCCCTACACTGCTCATCTTTACCTCCAGCTCTCCTTTCATTGACCCTTGGGCATTTCACATTTGACACAAGGTCAACTTCTTACATTTGGCAGCCTCATGCCCACATTAATGAAAAGATAAAACTGGCAAATATCTTTTCTAAAGTTTTATTCAAAGCATTAAAGTTGTATTTTTCAAGTTCAGTTTGAATGTAGTTTAAGTCCAGGAAATCTTGGTAGTTCCCCTTTCTTCTCATGCTAGGCCATTCAAAGACTGATATGATAATAATTTGTAAGCTGAATTCCCAGAGTCAAAAGCTGCTGACATTTCCCCACATCTGTGTATGGAATACATTATGAGAGAAAACTACAGATGCTATGATACTTTACTCTTGAACTTTGATCATTCAACTCACGAGAATAAGAACACTCTCCTGCATCGACCCAACACCGTCATCACACCTAGATAGTAATGATTCCAAAGTAGCATCTAATTGTCATTTCTATTTTTCCATTTTTTCGAAACATTTCACATGTGGCTTTTTAAACCCTAATTTTGGTCTAGCAAGATTGCTCAGTGGGTAAAGGCACTTGCAACTGATATCTTGGGTTAGGTCCCTGGGACTCACATGGTAGAAAGAGGGAACTAGCCCTCCAAGTTGTCTTCTGGCCTCCACACATGTTGTGGTATATGTATTCCCTCTGCACACCTCCATACATATTAAAATAAATTTAAAATTTTAAAGAAAGATAACTTAACCCCCATCTACTGTATGTCATCTGTGCTTCTTTCTAGAAAAAATCATCCTACTTTTTTCATGGTATGATTATAAAAAAGGCAATGTTGCCCTATATTATGGATCTATTTTTTGTACCTATGTGATAATTTTAGCTTTTCCCTTTAGCCTCAGTATTCCCTACACTTTTAAGTGTTAAGAGACGTCATCCTGTAAATATGTGTCTGATTGGTTTGAATAAAGCACTGTTGGCTAATAGGGAACAAGATATGTGGGCTAGGAGTCAAGGAGGATTCTGGGAATTGTAGTGAGAAGAGCTCTCACCATGTGATCTCCCGGGAGCAACAGGTGCTCAGGTGTGCATCCTCAAGAAGATAAATTCTTATTAAATATATATTAGTAATTGTTGGTTAATAATCAAATCAGAGCTAGCCGATAAGAAACCAAGCAAACGGCCAACAGCTTCATAATTAATATAGTGCCTTGTGTGTTATTTGGGGGTTGAAACTGCAGCAGGACCCAGGCGACTGGCCAGAAGACAACACATTACATTTAAGTTTAGCTGTGAAGGTTTAATTAGGTTCAGGCTGGACATTTTTGGTAGAATACACATGTCCCATGTAGTTGTGTAACCCTTAGCAAAGCTGAACTTGATTCTTGGTAAAGTGGCTTCAAGACATGTTGACCTTACTACCAGCCATTTCTACTGCACTGTGTCCCAGGGTTAAGATCTTTAAAATTATGTGCACCAAAGTCTGCCAGGAATCCTAGACCATTTGCTTCTGTGGCCTCTTTAGACTCTTTGCTTCAACTATTTGTTAAAATCTTCTCTCTGTTGAAGCCCCTATTCCTTTGCTCTATAAACTTGGCTTCATAATCCATTGCTCATTTTTTTCTACCATTTAGATAGATCTGAAATTTTACACTGGGAAACTTCCATGGGCTTAACTACATTTTCAGTGCATGTTGAGTTTATGGCCCAACTACTACAATGTGCTACAGAAATATGAACTACTTCTGGCAAGCTCATCTGGTATATGACCTCTTATAGCAACATACAGACCTAAGTGCTTGTTGATATCCATGCATGTTAAGTCTCAGTATCTGATGCTACTGAGCATGCCCAATGAGCAAGGTGAAAGTATGGTAGAGTTGGTTTTCTCCCTGACCCCATTCATTTAAAACCCACCTACACCTGTCTGTGTCTATATTTTCAGCATCTTGGCAGGACACACTTATATACTATTGATTATTTTCAAGTAATTATGTGGTTCATCTGAATTGCCCTAGTTAATTGGGCAATCTTCACTTTGCAACAGTTTCTCGCAAGCAGGAAGACAAATACATGTGAGGAATGTCTGATGAAATAGGTCTTATTTTGAAGTTATGTGTCGGTGACTACACATGCAAAATGAATTAAGAATTGAGATCACTGTCTGGACCATTCAGCTGAAAGTCAGAACAGGATCCAGATAAGGCAAGAGTATCCCACTGGGCTGGAATTATTTAGGTAACTCCATCAATCACTCAATTCACTTCAATTGAATTATCCAGCTTAGACTTATAAGTAATTTGTTTTCATCTTTGCTAGTTAGCATCATCTGTCTGATATAATAGGAGAATAACAAGTTTGTTATGTTTTGTTTTAAAAGCCTTTTTGTCATGCGTGCTCCAACTTGGAAACTGGGGAGAAAGGTACTGGGCACACAGTTTTAAAAGGATCTGCGCTTTTCCTTTCTCCATGACCAACCTAAGCTGGAATGACTAAACAATGCGAATGGCACCAAATTCAACTTCTGTCTCCAAGCCTCATCTGGGGTAAAACTATGACGTGCATAAAATTCATCTTCAGCCACATTGCTTCTATCTATCTGTACCCTTTACTTCAGAGATTAGCTTAAATGGATGCTGCTCCTTCTCTCCAAAGCATTTGCTAGCGCTGGACCTCAGTGGAGAAACGAAAAGTTATCTCGGACAACCTGCTGCAGTCAGCTGTTTTGTCACTGTGACAAGAGGCCTGAGAAGACAGCTTCTGAGAGGACAGATGCATTCTGCCTCATGGCTGCAGACGTGGCAGTGTATGGCAATTTGGTGAGGGGGTACCTTATGGTCACCAGCCTGGTGATCTACCTCTTCCAACCACACTGCCAATATTCTATTCAGATTTTAACCTATCCATGCATTCAAGCATTGGTTACTGCCCGAGCTCTCAAAAAGCACACATGGAATAGTGTTATACTAATGTCATATGCATCTTTCAATGGAGCAATCAGAATTTGCCATCACATGCCCAGAAGTAGGCACTTCTGATATCCGTGGGCAGATAAAAGTTACGTTTGGAAGTCTGAAGGTTTTCCTGTCTTTGAGGAGCTACACAAGAAAAGCATAAGCAACCAGGAATTCTGGCTACTTTCAAAAGTTTGACTCTATCAGTATCCTCTAAGCTAATATTTTCATAGTTCTGTGACATTTACGAAATGTGGTTTACATTAATTATCCTGTTTAATCTTAACATAGCTCATAAGCACTATATTCTTGCCTCCAGTTTGTAGATAAGGATATTGGTTCTCTGCCACCAAGGGCTGGGCCCTGGCTCTGAACAAGGTCTGTTAATTCCATTCTGCACACTCCAACTCCATTCGGATCCACACACTAGCTTTCAGTTCTTCTAAAAGGGTGGTGATAACCCTACAGTGACTTGGTATCTAACAGGGGGTTGAAGGTTTCTCAAGCAGTAACAATTGGTTCTATAAACCTGAAGCATTTCTCCTTTTCCCTCTTCTCCCCACCTTCCCACACACTATTTTTGGAATGAAGACCACACCATCCTTACTCTATTTGTAGGGTATTTAACATAACCAGAAGGCAGCCAGAGGATCACAGGACAGGACATCGTTACTACATAGCCCGCAGTGGCAGAATCAAGCGGCTGGGGAAGAGAAACCAGAGGCCCACGATTCTGAGAGAGCATGAGAAGGCACATTGGAGGGATTGCGTGGAGGAAGGGGAAGAGGAAGAACAATACGTTTTAATTAAAACGCAGTTCAATTAAAAATTTAGGTTGCCTTCAATACACAAATTCAATGCAGGAATTTGAAAGGGAATAGTCTTTCATTTTATGATATTGGCTAAATCACAATAACTCAAGTGACATTAAAAATTCACACTAATTTATTCATTGCCATCTTAACTATGAATTAAAAGAAAACAAAAGATGATAGTAATTATTATTACATAAGAGATTCAAGATTCAACTCTATTTTCTAACATCTAAATTATCAAAACACTACAAAAGTATTTTCAAATATCTTTGTATAAGGTAGCTCCTCTAACACATCCGTGGCTAGCATGCTTTGCACTTGTACACAGATCATCCCATACACACATGCACACCCCCCTCCAGCCCCCACCACACACACACACATACACACACAAATGCACACACACACACACACACATGCACATACGAGCACACACACAAGCATAAACAAGTGACCATGAAATTCCAGCAACACTTCCAGAAGTTCACTACTTAAAATTATTCTATACATCATGAATCAGCAAGACTTTTTTTCTATAAAGGGCCACAAAAAAAATAGGTTTTGTAGATCACATGATCTCATCGAATATACTGCTGTCCCTGCATGAGACCAGCATAGATGAAAAGTTAATGAATGAGTAGGGCTATGTTTCAGTAAGACTTTTTTTTGTAAATCCACCATAGCTTACCAGTCTCTCCCAGAGAAATTTGTTTGTACCAGATCTGGCTTCTTAACAGGACAATGTCCCACCTGGAAACATTATCAAGATTGCCTGAAACATACTGCTCACCTGTGACCCAATGGTTTCCTGGAAGCACCGTCCAAGCTGTGTCTTAGCAGCCACAGGATACACATGTGGAATGACCTGCTGGTGGGTCTTCTGGACGGGAAGGCCCTGGTAAGAGACCAGCGGCTGGCTTGGTGGACCTCCTTTCACCTTCTGGCCCATTGGGCCGTCAATTCTGGAAACCTGGTGAATCTGGACAGAAGCCTCGGGAGGGTGCTTCACATGGATATTGACTATGTTGGGGGGGAATTTCACTACAAAAAGCAGGAGGACAACTTGTTAAACATGAATAATTACTGGGGAACTCAGGATTTTTGAAACATGAAATGGATTTTACTCAAACACACTCACTAAGAGACTCCACCTAGGATACATGTATACAAAGAATCTTTTTGTGACACAGACATCAAAATTCTTGAGAATTTTGTACTCAAAGTGACAAATTTGTGCATCTAAAAAAAGCCAAACTGTGGGCTGGAAGGTGGTTTAGCTGGTAAAGGTGACTGCCACCAAGTCTGATACAAGATGGTGGAAGAAGAAAACTAACTCCACAAGTTGCCCTCTGACCTCCATACATGCTCTGTGGCACACACACACTCACACACACACACACACACACACACACTCTCTCACACACACACTCACACATACACACACAAAATGAATATATAATAGAAAATTTTAAATAAAACTGCAATTATGCAGACTTACAGTATCTTAACAGTGATATATTAAGAAACAAGAATATTGGGGCTGAAGAAATGGCTCAGTGGTTAAGAGCACTGGCTGTTATTCCAAAGGACCCGGGTTCAATCCCCAGCAGCCACATGACAGCTCGCAACTGTATACTCCAGTTCCAGGGAGTACAGACATACATACATACATGCAGGCCAAATGCCAATACATATAAAATAAAAAATAAATAAATCTCTTTTTAGAAAGAAAGAAGAATATTATTTTAACTAGGATCATAAGATTATGAATTTATGATGCTTTCACAGTAAGGTCTGTACACCTTACCAAGTGATAATAGATTCTCAGGAATTAGGTACTGACTTTCTGCCCCTTTCAAAGAAAATTTCAAATGACATGTTCATCTTCTGACACAAATATTCAGGGTTTAAAGAGTAAGAGTCAGTTACATTTCTCTGACCCCCTTTAAAGCCTACGGATGCCAGCTTTGAAAGAATGAATTAGTCACAGAACTTGTGAGCTCCAAGTGACCTAGTTTGCCTCCCTCTACAGATGGACAGACTGAAGCCCAGTGAAGTTAAGTGGTGGTGTAGGACTCAAATCAAGTATCTGCCAGCTACAGAATTCATTATCGGGAATAGTGCGGCCCATTAGTTTACTGCTGCTATCATGGTCAGACCGTGACCACGCAAGGCCTCTGGCCTCGCACATCCATGGCTCCATGGTGCTGCGTCCTCAGAGGGGCAGGAACTTCTTATTTTCCAGATTCCAGTTCACTGTGGCCTGGAGTGTACTGCAGCCACATAAGTGGCCACACTCCTGCTCTACTGCCGTTCCTCAGGTCACAGACCCACACCGTCCCGTCTGTGTTAACCCCAGTCCTGGCTGCATGCAGACTTCTCTCTGGGTATGACCTGGGACAGATGACTGAGCCATGAGCAAAAGAAGAATGCAAAGCTTACCTTTGACTCCTTGCTGACTTGTCATGGTCAGAGGCAAGGTATGTGTGGAATGGATGACATGGGTCCCCAGTGCCTTGCCTGGCTGCTGGGAGTGCTGATGATAGAGTTTAGGCCCACTGGCACCAAGGACAGGGATCTGGCAAAGCTTTCCTGTGAAATTTGGAGGGCACTGACATTTGTCCCTTGAACTGCACTGGCCACCATTCATACATGGGAGATGGCAAATTACTGCAAAGGAAAAGAGACGATATGAAAATTTGGTTAGTTTCCTAACGGTTAAATGACAATCAACCAACAACCTCCTACCATACCCTAACACATACACTGTTTCAGACATCCTCTCCTACTGGGAATCAATACATGGCCAAAGGGTTGCTACTATCTGTTAGCATCTCCTGATACCGAGAAGGCATTTAGCTGCCAGGCGCTGGCGACTGTTTGCACCCAACAGCAAAAGCAAGAGTTCACAGGGAAAGAATGACGTACGCTGACAAGACGGCAGAGTGAGCGATGTGCCTGCTGCCAAGTCTGTGACCTGGGGTTGAGCCTCAGGACCCACATGGTGGAAGGAGATAAGTGACTCATGAAGAATGTCCTCTGATCTTCATGCCCGCTCCCCGCCACACAAACAGATCCATATACATACATATATAGACACACAAAGTAAATAAAAGGAGTATAACAAAACTAATATGTGTGTATGTATGCATGCATGTATGAATGTATACACATGTGCATGAAGTAACCACCCAGTTTATCTCAGTACCATTTTAAACATCTCTTGAAATTTGAAATTGTTTTCCTTCTTTATTTATTGATGATTGGCTAACTGTATCATAGATTAAAAACTCCATGGAAAGAAAGACATAACCTTCATGTCCTCAGTACCTAAAAGATATCCTCCAGAGAGTGGATTTTTGCTCATAGAACAGATAAAGGAAAAAATTAGAGTAATGAATTTTTTTCTGTAGAAGACAGTGAATTATGTGCCACTCAGGACACAGAGCACAGATAGCTTGAAACACCCTTAAACTATCAAAAGATAGTTTTTAAGTTGGGATAGCCTCAGCAATGGCGGGCCTTGCTCATTGCTAGTGAATGCATCTTGGAAGCCTTTAAACACCATCAGATTTCTTCCTGCTCGGTCGAGAAAAGCCCCTCAACTCTATTTCTTCTTAGCTTTCATGTTCTTTCAATGGTGTCCCTCATTACTACACTTTCCTGAGATCGTTCCTCCCTTCCCAATATAAGATACCTCGGGACAGAACACGCCTTCCTTTCCTCGATGGAACCCGTCTTCCTAAGGCCACTAATGGTCACTGTGTCACTAGGTGACAGGCAGAGACTCCAGTCTCCCTTGGTTACCATGGCGCCTTGCTCATCTAACTGATCCCTTCCTCCTTCCCTAGACCATCTGCACACTCTTTGCAGAAGCCTCCCTTTGATTGCCCTTTAAACACTGCTGCATGCCACGGGCTGGTCCTAAACCCTTCTTGAACAGCTCCACACGCTTTGCGACGATTTCATCATGTCCCCAAACTTGTCAAAGCTTCTGTTGGATTTCAAACTGGCTATAACTGTGTGTCTCCAAGGAGACATCCCATAGGTGCCAGTCGCGATCCCTTCTGACAGCCCCAGCCCCAGGGTGGTCTTTGGGCAGACACGGTTGCTCTGCCCTCACCCCACTCATTCCACACCCACGCTAGAACGCCTCCCTTTCAATTACTCAGAGGCCTGCTCCCTCTGCAATATCATCGCTCCTGAGCTCACCCCATCTCTCACAGCGCAGCACTCTGAGCTCTATTCAGAACCGACAAGCTTGTTGTAGAGTCCTCTGCCTGGAATCCCTCCCCTCCTTTCACCTCCCTTCAGCAGACTGACTTTCTGTTTGTCCTTTAGACTCGGCCTGGCCCTTGCCTCTCTGAGAAGCATTCAGAGTTGTCTCCCGGTCACCACCCTCCATGTCACATCTCTGGCTACATGACAGTTGTCTGACTAATGTGTATACCTCCCTCCACTGGAGCTCTGTGAGACCAGACGGCCAGTTCTGTTTAATTTTACCCTTCACACATAGCTTGGAACCTAGCAGAGATGAGCAAGGTCTGAAAGAACATGAAGAAAATGATAAAAATAAACACAAAGATGAAGAAATGAACAGTTCCGTGTCTGTCGTTGTGTCAAATGCCTTCCTTAGGTTGCAAAGGAAGTTCGGTTCTTGCACTTCAAGAATGTCACAGCTACTCAGTGACATTAAACAACGCAGGACAACTAACCCTGCAAAGAAACAATGACTGCAGAACATCAGTAAAATCCTTTAGAACTTCAGAAGTAGTGGAAAAAGCACTTCCCGGAAGACAGAACTGGGAGAAGTCTTTGAGAGGAAGGAAAACAGAATGGAGCCAGCACACTGTAGAGAGATCACCTTCAGAGAGGAAGAAGAAGCGTGTCCAGGAGAGAGAGGCGGTGCATCCGGTTAAAGCCCAGGCTTTTAAAGGAAGGGAAGGGATCAGCTATAAGCTGGGACATGAAGGCTTACGTCAGACCAAGAGATTATTAAAGACGTGATGTGGGGTTTGGACTTTACTCTGTAATGGACAAGTTATCCTGAGGCTTGAAGGAGCGGATTAACAAGGCTGCCAGCGTGTTCCAGGAAGGCTGCTCTGCAGATGGCATTCAGGATTAGTTAAACAGAAAAGTGACAGTGCTTGGGGGTGTCAGTGTGGAAACTGTCATAACTGGAGGCAAGTTGGAAACAGGGCTCGGGTGATGGCTGCAAGCACTGAAAGGAGGATGAAGTAATGAAATCCGCAGGGAGGGTCAGCAGACAGTCCAGGAAACCGAGAAGGTGGAGAAGGAAAGAGGCAGCCGGAAAACATTACCTGGTCACAGCCCAGAAACTGTGTTCTAGGCCTATGTTTCAGCTCCAGTCCAACAGCCCAGATGAGCTGGGGTCTGGGGAGCCCCGGAACTTCCCCTGGTATCCCATCTACTCTGAGAAGTACCAGGTAAAAGAAAAGGTGGTCAAAATTATCCCAGTAGCCAGCGTCCTTGTAACTCCTAGTCAGATCCTAACTCCAACTTCAAAACCATAATGTGGCTCACTAGATGAGCTCAGCGTACACTGGGCAACAGTGAAGATACCATATCCAAATATACTAATATATTATGCAAATGTCCTGTGAATAACTCATCAGTGGAACTCGGACTCCCTTTACTTCCAACTTTCAGGGATTTTATTGACCACAGTAACCTGAACAAATACATCAAATGTAAACGCTACTGCTATCTCTGTCCACCAAGCCCTTCCATAATAGCAGGAGTATTTCTTGACCAGTGCCTAGTCCCATCACTCCTTTCAAGTTCTGCTGATGAGCAGGCTCCGTATGTCCCTTAGTTGGAGCACACACATCAAGGCAGGTAGTCCTGGCCTCCTAACCCCAAAGCAATAAAATCACAGAATGTTTAATGAAAGTGGATAATCAAAAGACGGAATGAACTTTAAAGAAGTAACAGTGACACTCGGGGAAGGAGATGTCCAGTAGTTCACTCCTTGGGGTTTGCTTCCAAAATTCTGTCCAAAAGAAAAGGGATGTAACAGTTTATAGAGCCGTGGTTCTCAACCTTCCTAATGCCGTGACCCTTCAATACAGTTCCTCAAGTTGTGGAACCAGAAAATTGTCTTCGTCTCTACTTCACAACTGTAATTTTGCTACTGTTATGAGTCACAATGTAAATATCTGTGTTTTCTGGCGGTCTTAGGTGACCCCCATGGAAGGGTCATTTGACCCCAATGTCGTCGTGACCCACAGGTTGAGAACTGCTGGTTTAGAGAAAAGAGATATTTTATACAGCGAGAACACCAGCATGCTCACACTGTTCTTGACTGGTTTCAGTCAAAGAAATAAGACACTAATTCTTCATGCTTCTATAATTTTCAGCTGTAGATTAACAGAAAAAATTAGCCTTACAATTTTGTTTCATTGTTCTACATATTTATACTCTCCCCTTTGATATTTTAACAAAAATATTAAAAGCTGTGCAGCTTGAGTTTTCCCATCTATGAAGCTGCAAAGTAAAGGCAGGCATGGTGGCACACACCTTTAACCCCAGCACTTAGGGGACTGAGGCAAGCAGATCTCTGAGTTCAAGGCTAACCTGGTCTACAGAGCAAGTTCTAGACCATCCAAGGCTACCTAGTGAGACTCTTCCTAAATAAATAAATAAGTAAATAATATTGTTAACATATGTAAATTGAGGACTGCTTATAATCTATACTGGCACAAATTCATAGAAATAACCAACTTAAAAATTAACCAATTGACCTTTACGAGATATGCCCAGTAATGCTAACAGACTCTAAACATGGGCACAGGTCCTCTAAGTCAGTCTACCTTTCACTCTAGAGATGATGTCCCTGCGATTACCCTGTGGAGAATACCTACGAGAATCCAGCAGTCATCCATGAGCCCCAATAACCCTATGTCCCCAGTCATTGGGAAACAGCTCCTTCCTGGCTGTTGTAATCACTAAAAGGTCACTATTCATAACCACTCATGAATGAGGAACAAAGTATCTACTCTCTTGTTTCAGTACTTTCCAAAATCTCAAGAACAGCAAATAAAGTCCCTTGCCTCATCTCAACAACTTCAGACCGAGCTGTTTGCAGCAAGCAATCTTTTTATACCCAAATCATCTTTTACACACTAAAAACAATTTAAACCAATCTAAAGGCTGTACGATTTGGCTGTGAATAGTTTCTTTCTGTTTCAAAGTTCATGCCACTCTCTAAGCACTGTGGCAAGGCATGTCATCTATGCCATCAGTACTCTATGCCACCTCCTCAGAACAGGGAAAGGGAAGGAACAAATTACCCTCTGGGTTGGCTTGAGAAGCCTGCAGTATGTCGGCTGTAACTCTGGTTATGGCCCATATATTTTGGACAATCTAACTAGAAGGGAGAACATAGAATGCTGCCTGAGAAATGCCATAACCTTGTCGGCATGATATTTTGATGGCCACCGCCATAACTCACCGTCTTGCATCATAGAGTCACCAGGGAACCGTTGCAATAACAAGAGGTATGTGGACCACCATCCTGTTATTCCAGAAAGTGTAATTTCATGACGACATCTCAAAGTACCTCATAATGCTACTATAAAAGGCCAAAATGAGCCAAAGGATCCTGCCTGGAGGAGCGAGTTGGAGGTTTTAAACATATCAAGTGTTTC